TAAACGTCACAGTATTATCGCTGAGATGGAAACAATGTTAAAATTATGGCGTAATAATCAAGTAAATGTGAAAAATTGTAAAATAATATAGGCCTAATTTGTTATACATATGTATTATCTAAGATTTTATTAAACATTTTTTTCTAAATTATTGTTTTCTTTAGTCTCCGGCCCCAATTAAAAATTATTTGTATGTATTTATATGCGAAATGACACCCCGACTTACGCGAATTCGACTTACGCGGTTACCGCTCGGTCCCACCTATCGCGTAAGTTCGGGGTATTACTGTATTAATTACTAAATTGTTAGTAAGTCTTTTAGAAATTACCTGACTTTCTACTTCAGCAGATTGTCTTACACCCCACTGGAAAGATCCACTTAAAGCTAAAGCAGATGATATTGCAAGTCCAATTTCACCTCCTAAAGACACTGATTTTGAAGAAGGCTTAAATTAGTATTCAAAGAAATATTATATTGAGTGAATGAAACTGCAATAATAATAATAAACAATATTAACTGTAAAATTAGCAATGATGTTTTTGTAACAGCAATTGATATATCAGATTTCATAGGTCAATAATAATTCAGTAAATGCTTGTTATAACGGATCACCATGGGATTAAAGAAATTGATCCGTTATAATGAAAGTCCATTACTATACAGTAGAATCACATTAGAATAGAGCTCGATAACGGATCCGAGAAATTATCTGCAGTTTGCAGATGTTTTCTCCGGGTCCAGATGCAAAATCAATGTATTTTTACCTCGTTTCAGCGGATCTGTTACTGCTAATATGAGGATTGTACTGTTTATAGTAATATATAGTAATATTGTCTTGATCATTTCTGTATATCGATATTGCGGACAAAAGTCAATTATCCTACGTAATGGACGAAATTTCATTCGTGAAGTATAGACTATAAGCCAGATTTTTATTAAACTTGTAAAAATAATATATCTACACCTATCGGTAAATCTAAAATATAAATGTAAAGCTTTCGTTTTCTTTTATGATCCATGACTTTGCTTTACACAAAAAACCAAGACTGCTTGTAGAGAAAATGAAACCAAAACTGAACAAAACTAGTCGATCAGAAAATGAAACCAAAAACTAGATGTAATGCAAAAATATAGTCTACATCAAAAACATTATTTTAGAATGAGTTTCATTGGGCTGCAATTTGAAAAAAAAAAAATTGTAGATCTATAAATTCCCACTGTCGTAGGACCGTCCTTCCTTAATCTCGAGAACGGAGTTAGATAGACGAAATACGACACCAGATATTGAAATCTTAGGGCTATGAGACCAGATTACCAGTGTAACTTTATATGAATTTCTGATTAACTATAAATAAACTTTCGATGCAAACCGGAATTCACGTTATTTCAATTGAAAATGTTTTCCCTGAAAGTAGTTAACAGACGACCGGCACGACTTTATGTTAAAGGAAAAGAATGATGTACAGTACAGGGGCAAGATACTACATCACTAATTTCAGGTGGTGAGCATATACAGTATTTTAAATGAAATAAATTATAAATATGACTAAAAATTGCAGCCCAGCATTGTGACGATGTCACAATAAATAATTGCTCGTATTCTTTTTGTATTTATTTTTTCCAATAAAGTAAATAAAACGATGACTGACATTAAATGAAATAAAACGGCGATTGAAAAGTCCGTAATAACGGAAGGAAAATGGTCTACAGGACCTGAAAAATAGTTCATAGTAACGGGAATCTGTTATAAAGGAGTCAGTTATAGTGAATGAGTTTTCCTATAATTTTGGCCGGACCTACGTCAGCCGTCCGTAATAACGCGATATCAGTTTTTACTGTAATAATAATAATAACCAATAATAATAGCATAATAAAAGTTATTTATTCACTTACAACCTGGAGCTAGAATAAGACCAACTGTAACTGTGACAATGTACAAAACGCAAAGCCAATCAAGATGTATTCCAAACCAACGAGTTACAGCCAAAAACAAAAACCAGGCTGAAGTATGTCTATCTTGATATTTATCAAATGCAATTTCAAATGTTCTTTGACATCGAAATGCTCTTATTGTTGCTAATCCGTAGAGTGAAGTGGTAAGATGAGAAAAAACTGGGCTTCGAGCTACATACGAAAAGAAAAATATAATAATTTATTATTAAAGAATTAAAATTAAATATTTAACATAATTAAATGGCAACATTTGGTTTTAATTATAAAAATATATTGCTTACTGATTCCTTCTAAACGTTTAATATCTCTTGCGGTGGCAATGAAGAAACGTCGAATAAATATGAACATAATTGCTAAAACTATTGTAGGTGCAATGAGATAATAATTTATAATTGCTACTAATACAAGAATACCAAACATATTGCAGAATATCTAAAAATTATAAAGAAAATATTATAAAAATATAGAAAATTTAAAATAAATTTCCTGATGTATGGATAATATTTAAATATTCAATTAAAATAATTTTGCACATAATTAAGATTTAAATCTTTTAAACATATACAGTATATAAAATTTGAATTTATTTGCTTTAAGAATTGAATCTCCTCTAATTTATACTCAAAATATCTCTTATAAGAATCTATAGAATTTCTTTCTTTAGAAACAAAAATAATTTAAAAACTCTTTGAAATATTATTTAAAAAGTTTTGTACTTAAATTGTCTAAAAGGACTATTTGTTTTTCTGAATTGTTTTCTTAATTTGCAGAACCAGGTCACCGGTGTAATAAGTCCTAGTAATAAATAAAGTCCTTGTAAAGAATTTAAATGCAAAACTATAAGATAAGGACACAAAGGCATAAAATTTGATATCATTGAAAAAATGTTTGCTTAATTATTTTATATTAAAATAAGGTATTCTTTGAATTAAAAATGAATATTTAAAATTAAATTCTATAATAAAAATTTACTATAACTAAATGTAATAATATACCATAATAAATTTATATTAATATAATTTAATTAGTTAGAACTTTTAATTATGCATAACTATTAAATTGGTATTATTAATTATAACTTTACCTACTATTAATTAATTAACTGCAGATTACTTCACAATTTGAATAATCAAAAAAATAAATAATGTATTAATTAATTAAAATACATTTATTTATAACAAATATTTAATCATTTAAAGAAAACTCAATTTCTTACTTTAAATAAGTTTATTGAATAATATGTTCAAAAATAAATGATTAAATGAGATTTTTTAAAATTTCACTGTTTATTGAAATTTTAAAATTTAATAAATTCTAAAACTAAACATTTATACTTATAGGGGATGACTAATATACGTGTATTTATATATAGATAAAATTAATTTAAAAACTTATCTGAAATTAAACTTGAGAAGTTATGAAAATGAAATTACAAAGATTTCATATTTCTCAACTTATCTTTTGACATACCTCTATACAGTCAGAAGCGCATGGAGGAAGTAAATCATCAATCATACCCAAATCCCGTGAACAGCGGTTAAGTATTGCCCCTATCAGAATTAATAGTTCTTGTTAGTAGACCTTTGAGTTATTTTAAGGAATATTAATAAAAAGCAGATATTACTATTGAATTTTTGTTATTGTGCAAAAATGTTAATTGATTATTTTATTAGTAATCAAATTTAGCATTTAAATATTAATAGTTAATAAAAATTATAAGGTAAAAATTAATTTTGTTATTAGTTTTAGTATGCACTTCATGCATTCAAACTCTGCCATAACATATCTATTAAAAAATATAAAAGCAAAAGTGTAAAACTTTGTTCATTTAATACCACAATATTCAACATTAATGAAAAATAATAAAAAATGAAAGTTAAATTCGTATGTGCCAGTGCAGGTAAAAGAATGAAATAAAGTTAAAAAATTAGAAATTAAAACTTCAAGAAATATTCTGAGATAACATGACTTCAGTAGTCCCAACATTCCTGTTTTATTAGTTGTGGGGCATAAATCTAGCTGTCCAAAAATAAATTAAATCTGTATAAATATATAAATGGTGCAGATAAAGCGATTGATTGATTCAATGTGTTTAAATGATTGCCTTCAATTGCTTTTGTGAAAAATAAAAATCTTTAATATGTATAAATGTATAATTTGTAATTAAATACAAAATTAAACATAATCATACAATTATTAATCATACAGCTTAAAATATATTTTCCATGTTTTAATTATTTTTATTAGGAAAATAAAAATAAAACAGTAAATACATTTTTTTATTAATTATAAGTTTAAATTATATGCATTGTTGTTATGTTGTGCTGTTTTTGTTAATCATTGTTATCAGTAAGATATCATATTTATTAGTTTAAGTGTTGCTTTTTATTTTTGTTAGACATAAATCATAAGCATTGAAATGTTTTTTAAACATATTAAGTAGGATTCTTTCTGCTTTAATTTTGTATAATTGTATTTATAAAAAATAATTTCAAATTTTATTACTTGTAATAATACAGATTTATTTATGAATTTTTTAGATTTTATTCTAACAGTTTCTATTCAAAGCTGAAACTTTAAACTTATTTAATATGTTACAGTAATAGCTTTTATACTTTTCCAAATTATGGCAAATGTTATAAAGTTAAAACATACCAAATCATTGTTTTCAACAAGAACAGTTATCCCATTCAACAGTCACCACATTTATATTGTGATGTTATTAGGGTATGCAATACTGTATATTAAATCAGTAATATATTCTATGAAGTACTGAAAGTATAATTTAGTCATTTGAATTTTTATATACTGTATTAACCAAAAGCTAAAAAGCTGACACTATTAAATATCAACCAACTTAAATTTAAATACCATTTTTATGAACCTATATAATAATTAAGAAATAATAATAGTTGTATGATTAATTGAAAATTAATCATACAACTATTATTATTTCTTAATTATTATATAGGTTCATAAAAATAGTTTCATAGTTGTATGATTAATTGAAAATTAATCATACAACTATTGCTCAATTATTAATCATACAACTATTGCTCAACTATTGCTATTAATCAATTGCTTTAAAAAGCATTTTTTAGAAAAATTAAAACAATTTAAAATTCAAAAATTAATATAATAAATCAAATTGCACAATTGACTATGTTAATGGCAGAGATTTCATAGCATGAAAATATTTTTAGTACTTACACTTATCATATCATCAGCTGTAATATCGAGTACATCATCAATAAAACCCATATCTCTACTAAAACGATTCAATACTTCTCCTAGTTTAAATAATAATTTATCATTTACTTCAAAAATTTATGATATTCATCATCATAAATTTCTGATGATAAATATCATTGAATTTTTAATATTTTATAAACTATAAATAAACCAAACTCTAATCATTTAAAAAATATTTTATAAACTATAAATAAACCAAACTCTAATCATTTAAAAAATTATAATATTTATTACTAATTGCATTTACAATAAAGAAATACACTATATCATCAAAAGTATTGGGACACTTCATCTTATTATTGAGTGTGGTCCTGTTTTTCATGATTTAGCTTAGATCCTATTTTTTCAATAATGTAGAATCTAAGTGCTATAGTTTATAGTAACATTCTGGATAATTCTGTGCATTTGTGGCAACAATTTGGAGAAGACGCTTTTCTCTTTTAGCATGACAATGAATAAATAAGGTCTTTTACAGACCTTATTTATTCATTGTCATGCTAAAACAGAAAAGCGTCTTCTCCAAATTATTACCACAAATGCAGAGAAAAATTTAATGAATGAGATGAATATAGGCAAATTTAAGTGGCCTTCACAGAGTCTTAATCTGAATTTCCATTAAACATTGGAATGAATTGAAGTGTTAACTGAAAGAAAGACCAATTTACCAATTTTAAGCTGACTTCACTGATGCTCTCTTAGAGAAATAGAAAAAATTCCTGCTAAAACCTACTAATATATAATAAAAAGTCTGTGATAGCAGCAAAAAATATGTCCACTTTAGTGATGCCTTAAATTTAACAGATAGATTTCAAATAAGAAAGTGTCCAAATATTTTTAATAATATATGCAACCAAAATCAACATATGCTATTTTGATAAATTTAAATATTTTGTTATTTTTGAAACCGTGCCAGTAATTTATTTCAATTCAAACACAAATTAAGTAGAAATTTATAAGTTATATATATTTATGATATGTAAATACATATAAAAATTTTCAGTTTTTTATAGTTCGTTGATACTAAAACTGAAACTGTCCTATTTTAAACATTATATTCATAAACAATAATTCATTTACTCTAATACATGTATCATGTTCTCATCTATACAGTGGTAATTTTGGGGACTGTATCATGAAACTAATATTTCAATAAGTTTGAAACTATTTTTAAAAAAACAGTAAAATTTATGAAAATTTTTGTATTTTAGAATTTATATAAAAGAATATGTTACAAAACATTTTAAGAATCTTATAATAAGAAAAAATGAATTAATTTTTAGAAAAAAAGTTTTTGTTTAATCTAATCCTTTCTGACAATATAAAGGGTGTTTCAAAAAGAATCATCCGATTTAAAATGATTATACAGTATTATGAAAAATAATGAAGATACACACTTAAGATTAATTTTATATTACAGGGCTAATCTTCAAGATTTTTTACATACTAAATCATAAGTGCTGAATATGCTCCCCTTTGGATGCATGGCATATGTCCAAACGGTAGTGAAATTCGTCCCAAACTTTTGCGAGCATGTCTGGATCCAGAGCCGTAACTAGCCATTCCTGTGCTCTGTGCAAGAATTTGCATTTAGGCCACTTAATTTATTTGGTTTTGTCAAAATAATAAAACATAACGTTACAATAGATTTTTAATAAGATTTATTTTAATTGAATTTTTCTGGCTTTCATTTCAGCAAATTCATTAATTACACCATCATAATTAATATTTATAACGATATTGTATTCTATTGAAATAATAGAAATATTGGATAATCGTTCTTGTCCGATAGTTGATCTTAAATAATTTTTTATTAAGTTTAACTTGCTAAAACTTTTCTCGCACGAAATAATAGAAACGAGAAGAGTTAGAAATATTCGAAAAGCGACATTGATATTTGGGTAAGACTCAATTAAACCAAAATCACGAACAACCTGTAGCATATTAAGCGGAGATGCAGTTTCTATATTTTGTATAAGAGTCGTTACTTCAAAATTAAAACTTTCAATTTCACTTGTGAATTCGTACTTTTTTAAATCTTTGCTATATTTAATAGCGAGATCTGCAGCCGAATTTTTAAATCAGCAAACTCATGCGTTGTATAGACCAGCCACAGCGAAAGCAAAAATCGTCACAGATAATTTTCATTTTTTCATAACGCCAATCTATTTGACACAATAGAGTGTCAAGAACACTGTAAATTTGTATTTTAAATAATTTTTCGGGTGTCAAGTTACTTCCTTCATCTGGTGTTTTATCTATTTCGATTATCTTAACTCTTGTTTTTCGTTTATTAAGAAATCCCTTTTCTATACTTTTTGGTTTGTTTTAAGAATATTATCAATAATAGCATCTGTTAATATTGTTGGCCATAAAGCTATATCATTTATTACTTCCATGTATCTATATATGTCGGAGCGTTTTTTTTAAAATCTATTTCTATCTTCTGCGTTTTCGCAATCCCTTTTTTTCAATAGCATTTTAAAGACTGCGGGAGCTCCTTCGGACCCTACGCGCCCGCACAGTTCGCTTACCGCAATTCCGCCGTTCAGGTATGAACGGCGGATACCACATATGCGTACCACTATAAAGCAAAAATTGATGTCAGCATTTCTGCGCGCCTTTTACAACCTCGAGACTAAGATTTTATTCGGGAGTTACCGTCTCAATTTAGTAATTTAAAAAAAATCCTCGGGCAGATTTATTTTTGTTACAAAATGTTACCTTTACAAATTTCTAGCTCTGCACACTGTAGAAAAATCTAGAAATACAGTTTGTATATCGTAATAATATTAGTAGTTACCAGAAAGCTCTATAAAGTAAAGAAAAATCTATAAATTTGAAAACTATAAACATAAATTTAAATTTCTCAAAAAATAAATTAAAATATATCGAAAGTCGCTACTTTTGGCTGATTTGTCTGAGGTCTCCGTCACATCACTACGTCCTTCTAAAAGTCGCCACAGTTGGGAACACTGGTGAGCAGACATCTAGAATTAAATAAGGCGAAATGTAATCGCCAAACCGCGCTGTAGAAAGGCAGAAAAATTTAAAATTTAAAAATATAATTTCTTGTGAACAGCAGTTTGTGCGACAGGTGCACCCGCGCAGGGGCCACTTGGAAGGGGGGCTCTGTCTGGATCTACTGCTGTCACCGCTGCTGTAATGCGGTTTCGCAGTTCGAACATTGTAGCTGGAAGAAGAGACACATAAACGGAGTCTTTTTTAAACGACCACAAGAAAAAATTGCAAACAGTGAGGTCCGGCAATCTAAGAGACCAGTTATGTCTTCTGAATCATTAGGTCCCATATGGCTGATCCATCGTTGGGGAATCTGTGTATTCAAAAATTCTCGAACTTCCGGGCTCCAGTGTGGTGGTGAGCCGTCCTGCTGGAAAATGAAATCATCCGAATCGGCTTTAACTGTGGGAAAAGCCAGTTTTCAAGCATATTGAGATATGTGATTCCCGAAAATATGGAAGTGACAGGTAAACTAAGCGCGAGGGTGCTTCCAAACGGCAATCGCGTAAAACTCGAGAATTTCCTCTTTCTAACAGTTCCACATTCGATCAAAACGGATTAAAAGCTAAATAGTTATGATTTTTTTTTAAATCGTATGATTCTTTTTTAAACACCCTGTATATATATATTATATAATTAGGAACTGTCAGCCAACAAACCTCCCAATTAACAAAAGCCTCAACAATGATTTACAGTTAAAACCAAAACATAACAAAGAATAAAAAACAGTGGAGTAGCGTGGATGTCAGCCGCTCCCTTATTTAGGTATCTCAATTTAAAAGACTAAAATCCAGTTTCTTCACAGAATAAATAATGAAAAATTTCGTTCTCATTTCAATCGGTTCGAATCGTAGGTGCGACAAAAATATGAAATGAAATGGTTCAAATTTTTACAAGATATTATTATTATTTATTGTGAAATTTTGCCGCCCCCTAAAAAGTGCCTCCCCTGCCGCCCCCACTACGCTACGCCACTGATAAAAAACATGATTTATGAAATAACGCAGTATATGTTAATGCAAGGTTAATGCAAGGCTGGATAAACATCAATCTTATGATGTGGATTCAGGTTTGAGTCAGAGGGTACCGAAAGTGGTCAATATCAATTCTCCATATTTCAGTCAAAAGCCGAAAATGTCTAATTGACCCTGAGGTCCAATTTTCGCAGTTGACTGAAAATGGTTTATTAAAAAATTATTAATCCATTGGCAGTAATAATCTCCTGATTTAAGTCTAACCTCAGATATTCTTCATGGGAGTCTTTCCTGAATATTTCAGGTTACATCTCTCATCATCCAACAATCCCCATTGTGTGCCTAACCGAATCTTTAATGAATATGGAAAAAAGCCTTCTTAAGCTGATGCCCACAAGCGGCAAAACTAATATGACAGTTAGCATTAAGGTTAAATTTTGTCAATCGCCATTCCAACTAGTTCAAAAATCCCTAGCTTTGTTTGAGTTTCCCCAGTAAGACAAGGCTATATTTTGATGGTGACAACATACATCATCAACCAATTGGATAATTAAAAGGCGGCTGGCTTTAGTTTATCATGTTTCTTGCAGTGACAAAAAATGGAAAGTGAATAAGAAACATTCAAGGAAATAATTTATTAATTGAAGAAGCCAAGAAAAATCTTTTTTGTGCAACGTTTTAGAAAGTGTTTGGATATTGTCAATCTAATCCACCATTGTTGAGATTTTCTTCATAAAGTTTTTTTATATAATGCAAGTTTAACATATGACAAAAGCATAATCTTTTTAATTTATTTTGTTGATCCGTTTAATTTGTATTGAATTATATATATCTACACTTTACCACAAATGCATTCAACAATGTATGGTGTAGTATTAATTATGGGAGAAAACATGATGAATTCAACAAACTATTGATTGACACTGGTAAACTCTGATATATACAATGGGATTGCTACAGTGACAACAGTCAGAAATGATAAACATCAAAAGTCAGCAACATTTGCTGTCATGTCCATTTCGCCACCTGTGGACATCGGCCTTTTAGTGCTCACAAAAAAAGAGAATTTTTAAAAATTGCTAAATCTCCAGGTTAATGTAAGTGTGAGGTTCCAAAAACGGGTTGGAATTAAACATTTATTATAAAAATTTATTAAAACGAAACTAGAAAAAACTTCCATTGTTAAAACGGATCAAAGGTCGGATTAGTTGTGCAAGCCGCAAGCCATATGAAACAGACGGGAAGAAAATACTATTAAATGTAAAACACTCCAGTCAAGATGTACGAGAGAGATATGGGTTTGTTTGTTAAGTTACGGCAACGCAACACTTAGGCGTTACTGCCTAGGGGAGATGCCTTTCGGGAAGTTTTTTTAAGGGTAACTTGCCTCTATTCAGGCGTTACAGACGTGGAGAAAACCCGGAAAACTCCATGTGGCCAGCCCGTTCTGGCGAGGCGCGAATCCACGACCGAACTCCCAGTGTTTAGGAAACTGAACAGCTTGGCCACTGATGGGCCTGGTTTGTGGGTGGTGGTGGAAACATACTGACAAACAGGTTCGGACTCGTCCTGGAACCTCAGATTATTCAGGATACTGATTAACAAATAGTCTAAAAATACGATGCACTTAACAGTCAAATTTGTATGCCATAATATAAATATGTTAGAAATGTCCGAAGTGGATTAGCCATTATTGCCTCTGTTTGTGTCATCCTGCTCGATCATATCCGATGCTGTTCCCGTTAACATATCTTTACAGACAAGAATATGTGATTAGTACAGTTTATATTATGCACTTTATCTGAAAACATTGGTATTGTCACATGAAAATAATTAGGACAAATATAAATGCAACGCTATGAAAAACAACTATACTTTGATATAAAGTCTATAAAACCCTCATATCAGTTCAGTGCTTTTAATGATTGCATGACTTACATGCACTACATCTCTTTTAAACAAGCCTTTATTTGTGCTTAATTTTGATAAGCAGCACGCATAGCCATATTTAATATTGATAATTTTCACACTGTTTATATAATAAACCAATTTAAGAAAACTAGATTCTGTGAACAAAAGACAATATCTAATACTAATCCAATCTAACTAAATAAGTTACTTACTCTAACTTAAGTTAAATAATTTAATTACGGTACTTACCAACAGGATTATTATCAAAAAATGCTATAGGAGCACGAATGATGCAATTAAACATGTTGTTATGAAGTTTTATGGATGCCTTCATGCACATTGTAAAAAATGCTATTGTACGAACTAATGATAGTAAAAACAATCCCCATATTAATCCAGAATACACATACATGTTAAAGTTACGAGGAGGTAGGATTATATTCATTGTATCGTTTGTATTGTTATTGTATTTAGTATGATTGTCAAAAATCTGTTTCTCTTTAATATATAGTTGCTCTTCATCAGTCCTAATAATTACAAAAAATTATACAAAAGTAATTAAAATGTAATAATAATATATGAGGTATAATCACATACTGTATTTAAATAGCATGTTAGCATTTCATAAATAAATATTTTATTGTAATTGAAATATCAAACCATAATATTAAAACTGTAATGAATAATAGAAAAACATACATCAATAGTTATTCCAAAAGTCAAAAAACAAAAAGATATAGGAAAAGTAACAAATTTAATGAATTTAATTTGTAAAAAATGACTTTACCACAAATATTAATGTGATAAGATGATAGAAATTTATCTTTTCTGATATAAACTATTTGTCTATATCATACGTAATTTAATATCCTATTCTTAAATTCTGTTACTGCTATTGTTTTTTTTTTAATTTGTGAACTTCTTTACAAAAATTAATTTAAGGATTTAATACTGTAACAATAAATAATTAAACAAAAATTTAAAGCAAGCATTATATAATTAGAAAAAACTTATTACAAAGTAATATAATATAAATTTAATGAATAATAGAGTATTTTATTACTTGTAAAATTTATTACAACCCTTTGATAAATATACAATTTAAAAATATTTTTATTTATTTAAATGTATTTCTTATATTCAAATAAATAATAATATTTTTTTTATTTTAGAAAATAAGAAAAAAGATCTGTTTGTTATCATATTTTATTTTAAAAAACTTTTTTACTTCTAACTATTATAAAATTGCAAAAACCTTAATTTTGAGGGTAGGAATGAGTTTTATAAAAAATTGTAAATGCTAATAACGAGTAAAATCGTCATTAAGTCCGACCCTACTGGAGATACACACAACCCCATTATCTCCCCACCTCTCGACTTTTAACCACCAAAATTTAGTAGCGTCAATCCCCTAATAAACAAAATTTCAAAAATTTGTGACAAAAAAGCACAGGAGTTAAGCTTCAAAGTGGGTGAATAAAAATCGTGTTCCCGACACATACACTAACATACAGAAATTATCCCCGAATTCTTTTTTGAATTTCTCGGTGGTTCAGGGTGTCCTAAGTCCAAAAATGCAAAGATCTGGGAGGTGGTTATTTTTTTGCGTATCACCATACTTTCCCTCTGTTATAACAGAGGAAAGTAAAAAGCCAGAAAACTGTACATGAATATTCTAATACAAAGCTGTGGTCCTGTTCTAATGTTTCATATTTTAAACATAGTAGAATTATATATAGTTTATTTGATTTCATTTGTTCTGCATTTTATCCATGTGCCTTGGATAACTTGAAAAAGTCCGTTAAAATAACCGAATGTTCGAAAATTAATTGTATTCGATTCTTTTTCGCCTGATGATTGTGACTGTAAGCTGTCGAAAGTACTAGCGAGTACGTCTTAACTACGTTAATTAATAAATCGTGTTTGTAACGCCGCTACACTATTGTGTTAATTATTTTATATGATTATTGACATGAAGTCTCTGCTTACGATTATAACGTTTTATAACCTTTTAGCTGTACTGTTCCTACTCAAATACTCTATCCAATACAAACATCTTTTTCTAAAGCAGAATTCAACTAGTTAAAATGTTATCGAAAATTATAGCAGTGCGTTGTGAATCACGTGATATTTTAAAAACCCTTAAAAAGAAATTTAGTAAGACGTATAAGATTGTGGTACAGTAAGACTCCGCTTAACGCGGGGGATGCGTTCCTAGATAACAAAGCGTTAAACGTCATTTTAACATAGAGTTAATAGGGATAGGAGAACATGCGACCAAAAATAAACCAATTTTACTTTAATTTTAAGTTATTTTTATATTAATTTGTATAACAATACATGTTAAATTACACATAAATATATGCACACAGAAATGTAAAGTTCATTTTTTAATTTTTTTTGTGATGAACGTCCTGACTTTTCTAAAATTAATGTTCTTTTGCGATAAAATGGTAAAGTTTCATTTGTCGCTTTTTTCTTTCCTTAAGCAAATGTCGGTAGCGGAAGATCGCATCGAAAACGCCTCGTTTTGCTTTTCCACTCCTTTCAAAATCTTGATCATTCGCTACAATTTGATCAACGATTTCAGTTATCGTTATCAAACTTTTACTAAGGAAATCTATAAAAAAATTTTTTGGGTTCTTCGTTTTTAGAATCTCTATTTTCCAGTTCCATANTTTGGTGAAGTTTCATTTGTCGCTTTTTTCTTTCCTTAAGCAAATGTCGGTAGCGGAAGATCGCATCGAAAACGCCTCGTTTTGCTTTTCCACTCCTTTCAAAATCTTGATCATTCGCTACAATTTGATCAACGATTTCAGTTATCGTTATCAAAGTTTTACTAAGGAAATCTATAAAAAAATTTTTTGGGTTCTTCGTTTTTAGAATCTCTATTTTCCAGTTCCATATGAATTCCATGTTCTGCCAGTTCTCGAAGGTCGTCGTTGGTAAGGCTCTCGCTGGAAACCTGCTGTAACTCCTCAATATCCTGCTCGTCTATATCTCCTAGTCCTGCTATATCGATTAGGTCGAGGTTGGTCAACCAAACGATTCAGCGATAGGCTCTTCTCGTTGAGAATTCTTGGATACCTTTAGACATAACTTCTTCCACACTTCGTTCGTGCATTTATCAGTTAATTCTTGCCAAGCGTAGTCGATATTTCCTATGGCATCCATGATTTTATATTTTTTTCCAAAATTGCACCAAACAAACATAGATTTAATAAAAGTACACCTTTTTGCCACCTTTCTCTGATTGATTTGTGTTCGCAAATAATCGTATTATATACGAACCAATAAAATGCAGCGATAATTTAAATCGGCGTAAAATTTGAGCTTTTTTAAGGCTTCGAGCAGACCGCGTTATATCGAATCAGCGTTAACCGTGGCAGCGCTAAGCGGGGTCTTACTGTACATGTAAATACAAAATTAGAAATTAAATTGTTTAAATAAGGTTACTCACAATTGCGGGATTTGTATGGTAGGTGTATTGCACGGTGTTACTGCAGATAAGTAGAGGTTCTCCTATATAAATAAGTCTCTTCGATCTGCAATGTTTAAGTAATTTGTGTGCCCAAAGTAGTAGATAACTCTGGTCTAATTAATACTTTTATAGATAATTCTGTTCTGGTCTGTTGTTTTTAATATCATCTTGATGTTCCAGGATACGGGATTGTAACATTCTAGTAGTAGCCCCAATGTAAATGCTTTCCTTCCTTGAGAGTACGTGTTGTAACGGAATTTTGTATAGACTCCCAATTTTTCATTTAATGTGAGTGTGTGTCTATCATTACATAACACTTCATAGTGTAGGTTGGGGGTTAAAGGCAAAGTAACTCCATGCTTTCTAAAAAGACGTGCTATTTTCAGTGATATAAGGTCCAAAAAAAGGTATTGGCGTTATACTACATTCAGTTCATTCTTGGTGCTGAAGAAAGTCTACGGAAATAAGTTGTTTTTGACCCGGTTATAGAGATGACGAAATCTGGAAGGAGAATAACCAGCATTGTGCACCTAACCAGCTCTATTAATAAGTTGTAATTCACTGTAATTTACTAATGTCTGGGTGGATAGGAGAAGGAACGCTCTGCGAATAAAAGAAGTAATTGCAGAGTTTACATAATGATAGGGCTGGAATGCAGTCGCAGGGATAATTTTCGATAACATTTCAATTTCATTTCATTTGTTTTTCGTTCTATCCACGTGCCTTGGATGACTTGAATATCATTAAAATTTGATGTTTGCATCAGATAAATCTGTCGTAAAGGCATTTTAAAACTGTCCTAAGAATTTACAGTAATTGTTTTTGAAATTTTTTAAAATGTAACTGATGAGGAATACAAATAAGCAAGAAATTAATTTTACAAATACAGTACAGTTGTGATCGGTTAACGAACATAATCCGTTCCAAGACTGTGTTCGCTACCCGAATTGTTCGTTAACCGATTATCGATTTAACATAGATTTTTATGGGAATTTGTTCTGCACACCCCAAAAAATAAATAAAAAAATTAAATACTTTCTTACTATGTTTATATATATATAATAATAATAATAATAATACATATATACATAGTCTTGCGTTTTTATCAGTCATGTTGTTCTTCCGTTAAAGAATCTGTCCAATATCAATTGCTTTTCTCTCTTCAGAATTTTTCGGAAGTAATTAATAGCATTGTCGTCGTAGAGATCCCCAAGCCTATTAACCTCAACGTGGTTTCGATGCCATTCTAAGACCGTTGTTCTGACATCCTCCTACTCCTTCAAAAATCTTTAATAGCAGATGTCGGCATTGATCTTCTAGCGTCGTCCTCTTTTTTCAGAAAAAAACATATCTTGCTGAGTTTCTTCGTGTTCTTCGTTGAAGAGCTCTTGGAGTTTTTCTGTCGTCAAATCAGTTTCAGGTTCCATTATGAGCTCTTCAATGTCATATTCATCTACAATTCGCGATCTCTAGTAATTGTCACAATTTCATCCATAATTTCATGTACATCATCTTCGTCTCTCTGAATGCAGGAGGGACACAGCTTTTGCCAAACAGAATTCAACTGTCGTTGAGTGACTTCTGACCATGCCTTTTAAATGAGCCGTATAGCCAAGAATATCAAATTTTTCTTTCCAAAACGTTTTTAATGTCATCGTTGAGGAGAACTGCATGCTTCAAAACACCGACGAAACAGTGCCCGAATGTACAATTTCTTGTAACCTGAAATAACCTCTTGATTCATTGGTTGAATCAACGAAATGGTATTCGGAGGCAGACACTGAACTGTCAGCCGGGGAATCTTCCAGCAAATTATCTTCAAGGTCTTTTGGGTGTCCTGGTGCATTGTCCACTAGCAACAGTGCTTTCAATGGCAATTCATTGGTCTGAAAGTAATCCTTGATGCTTGAAGCATAAACTTCAAACAGCCATTCTTTGAAAAGAGTCTGCGTGACCCATGCCTTTTTATTCGATCTCCACATCACTGACAGTTTTTCTTTAATTATGGATTTTTTATTTTTTTAATGCTGTAGGGTTCTTAGAGTGATAGACAAGAAGCGGGATAAGCTTCATATCAACACTAGCATTAGCTCCGAAAAGTAATGTCAATCGGCCTTTCATGGGTTTATGCCCAGGAATATTTTTTTCGTCTTTTGTGTCGGTTCGGCATACGTTTCCAAAATAAACCAGTTTCATCACAATTGAAAATTTGTTGTGGACAATATCCTTCTTTTTTGTGGACAAATTTGAGACAGAACTACTTCTTTATCTGCACTAGCAGACTCGCCGTGAATTACCACATGTTTAATGCCAAATCTCCTTCTAAATTTTGCAAACCATCCAGTAGTAGCCTTGAATTTTATCTCCTCATGTGACGAATGTGGAGTTTGTTTCTTCAGTTCTTCAAAAATTTCTCTAGTTTTCTCTTGAATGATAGTGATACTAGTTACATCTCTTTTCATTTCCTTTTCTTTTTTCCAAATTAAAAGCAATCTCTCCATTTTTTCATTGATGGCACATCTTTGTTTCTCGTATGTGATTTTCGTTACTTCTTTAGCTACTTGAGTAAATCAAGCCATACTGCCTGCCTAGAAACATCAATTCTACCTTGGCTAATATCTCTTGCTTGGTTTTTATGGTGAACACGGTTCTTAACACTCCACTCTTTTTAGGATTTATAATATTATCAATTTCTTTTTAAAATAAAAAGTTTAGAAAAGCACTTACAAAAATTCAGAGAACAAAAATCAACTAGCACACGAAAGAATTATTTAAATGTGAAGCCTAAATGAAATTCGAAATTTTGGTGTTAAAACGTTAACGAATATCCGATCGGACAATTAAAACTCTCACCTTTAGAAAATAAAAACCGACGCAAAACTTAACAAGTGCCGACGATCTCGCAAAGACTATAAAAACCATTTGTCAGAAAAGTAAACAAAAAGCTGGAATTACAAAGGAGTGTTTCAAAATTCGAAGGAATACTATCTGATCGGTATTGGGTTGACCGTCGGTTTCGACGTCTCATGTGCTCAGAAAGGTTTCGAATTGTCACCTGGAGACAAGGGAAAGCCAATCGGTATTCGTCATTTTACGTTGTTTTTTTTTGTGTTGTTCTGTGAGGTGGTCGTTGTCCGATTTGTTCGCAATCCGAACTGTTCGTTAACCGATCACCCACTGTATTAATATTTCTTAAACAAAAGCTAAGTGGAAAATATTGATACTGGAAAAAACAGCTATTATAAGAAAAATTTCTAAATAATCTACAATAATTTTATGTATAGTCTATTATATAAAAATTTATATGCAAAAATAAAAAAATTAATCATTAACTTTGCTTTCTTCAAAACAAAAATTTTGAATAGCAATATTCTTACCATTTTGAGAGCCAATAATCACTACCATTAAAGAGAGTTTGTGTTGCAATATATGATAAAAGAAGAAGAATTTGTAGAAAAGGTCCTGAACCAGCTTTTATATAAGATTTGTAAACTGCTACACCAACAGCCCCAGCAGTTTTTGTTTCTTGTTGCTGTTTAGGTGATTTGTCATCTCCAACTCTTACAGGCTACATAAAATTAGAAAGTTATTTTAAGAGATATAAACTAACATTGTTATCAAGAAAATATGAATGTAATATATCTATATCTATATATAAATCTTTAATAGCAGATGTCGGCATTGATCTTCTAGCGTCGTCCTCTTTTTTCAGAAAAAAACATATCTTGCTGAGTTTCTTCGTGTTCTTCGTTGAAGAGCTCTTGGAGTTTTTCTGTCGTCAAATCAGTTTCAGGTTCCATTATGAGCTCTTCAATGTCATATTCATCTACAATTCGCGATCTCTAGTAATTGTCACAATTTCATCCATAATTTCATGTACATCATCTTCGTCTCTCTGAATGCAGGAGGGACACAGCTTTTGCCAAACAGAATTCAACTGTCGTTGAGTGACTTCTGACCATGCCTTTTAAATGAGCCGTATAGCCAAGAATATCAAATTTTTCTTTCCAAAACGTTTTTAATGTCATCGTTGAGGAGAACTGCATGCTTCAAAACACCGACGAAACAGTGCCCGAATGTACAATTTCTTGTAACCTGAAATAACCTCTTGATTCATTGGTTGAATCAACGAAATGGTATTCGGAGGCAGACACTGAACTGTCAGCCGGGGAATCTTCCAGCAAATTATCTTCAAGGTCTTTTGGGTGTCCTGGTGCATTGTCCACTAGCAACAGTGCTTTCAATGGCAATTCATTGGTCTGAAAGTAATCCTTGATGCTTGAAGCATAAACTTCAAACAGCCATTCTTTGAAAAGAGTCTGCGTGACCCATGCCTTTTTATTCGATCTCCACATCACTGACAGTTTTTCTTTAATTATGGATTTTTTATTTTTTTAATGCTGTAGGGTTCTTAGAGTGATAGACAAGAAGCGGGATAAGCTTCATATCAACACTAGCATTAGCTCCGAAAAGTAATGTCAATCGGCCTTTCATGGGTTTATGCCCAGGAATATTTTTTTCGTCTTTTGTGTCGGTTCGGCATACGTTTCCAAAATAAACCAGTTTCATCACAATTGAAAATTTGTTGTGGACAATATCCTTCTTTTTTGTGGACAAATTTGAGACAGAACTACTTCTTTATCTGCACTAGCAGACTCGCCGTGAATTACCACATGTTTAATGCCAAATCTCCTTCTAAATTTTGCAAACCATCCAGTAGTAGCCTTGAATTTTATCTCCTCATGTGACGAATGTGGAGTTTGTTTCTTCAGTTCTTCAAAAATTTCTCTAGTTTTCTCTTGAATGATAGTGATACTAGTTACATCTCTTTTCATTTCCTTTTCTTTTTTCCAAATTAAAAGCAATCTCTCCATTTTTTCATTGATGGCACATCTTTGTTTCTCGTATGTGATTTTCGTTACTTCTTTAGCTACTTGAGTAAATCAAGCCATACTGCCTGCCTAGAAACATCAATTCTACCTTGGCTAATATCTCTTGCTTGGTTTTTATGGTGAACACGGTTCTTAACACTCCACTCTTTTTAGGATTTATAATATTATCAATTTCTTTTTAAAATAAAAAGTTTAGAAAAGCACTTACAAAAATTCAGAGAACAAAAATCAACTAGCACACGAAAGAATTATTTAAATGTGAAGCCTAAATGAAATTCGAAATTTTGGTGTTAAAACGTTAACGAATATCCGATCGGACAATTAAAACTCTCACCTTTAGAAAATAAAAACCGACGCAAAACTTAACAAGTGCCGACGATCTCGCAAAGACTATAAAAACCATTTGTCAGAAAAGTAAACAAAAAGCTGGAATTACAAAGGAGTGTTTCAAAATTCGAAGGAATACTATCTGATCGGTATATACCGGCTTGAGCGTCTATGTCGACGTCTCCCATACCTTTGAAAAGTTTCGAATTGTTGCCCGAAGACAAGAGAAGACCAATCGGTATTCATTATTTTACGTCGCTTCTTCTTGTGTTTGTTCTGTGGGGTGTTCGTTATCCGATCATGTGTTCGTTGTCCGAACATAAAAATCTTTCGCGAAGGTGTTCATTANTTTACGTCCAGTCAAACGAACTATTTTCAATTTGATCAATTTTCTGGAACGTTTACAATCGTTCTATAACCGAACCAATTCGAATACGAATTCGAATTCGAAAATTTTTAAAATCTAAATAGAAAATCTTCCACTTTCAACCACTTTCAAGCCCATATCTCCCGCACCCTTATAGCTATCGAGACGCAACCACCATAGTGCACGAATGGAGACTTGGGGCTACTACCACATACAAACATCATTCATGTGCGATGTGTAGTTTTGGCTGAAAAGTGAAATATAGGGACACACACGTCCATTTTTATAGATATAGATATATAGATATATATATAGATATATCTATATATCTATATAGATATATAGATATATACATCTATATAATAAAAGATATATAGATGTATATCTTTTATTTCTTGTTAATTAATAAATTTAAATCATTATGCTGTTAAAGTAAATGAGCAATTCATTTATGAATAACTGAGTTCATAATTTTTGAATTTATTAGAAACAAAATCTTTATTTAAAAATGAATGAAATGAAAAATTAAACTGAATTAAAATTATTGCTGTAAATTAATTTAAATTACTCACTTCACCTTCAAATTCACTCATAGCTAGAGAGCTATTTGATTCATAAAGCATTGCTGGTTGTGGGTTGGAAATGATTACATCTTCATCAGCTGATGAAAAACTTCCAGTTGTGTTCTTTCTACTTCTCGTTTCTTCATTTTCTTCTACTAGAGATCCTACATCTATTCCAGCTGTTACCAACTCTTCATAAGTTCCTAAAGCTAGGCATTTTCCCTTGGAAAAATTAATATTTATTAAAATGTAATCATCACATAATTTTAAATACAATGTTTTTAATTAAGAGAAAATTATTTGTAACTAAGGAGAGTTTACGCTTTGGGGTAACGGATTTTGATGATCTTTGGTGTAGAGGTAGTACACGATGTGAGTGTACTACCTGTAAAATACTAAAGTGCAATACTCAAATATAATCGAGAAAATCGAACTTAAAGTTTTGTTAGCACTTTATATATAAATTATACGTATTTCTATTCGAGCGTCCTGTGGCAGAGTGGTAACGAGTCTGATTCATAAGCTTGAGTTCTCGGGTTCGATTCTCGCGTATAATTTTTTTTTTAATTCATAAATACTTATAATGTATTTATTTATTTACTCATTCATTTATTTCTTATTATTTATTTATTTTAATTTAATTTCTACTATTCCAAGTCTAATATTTTTATACTTTTGTTGACAATAACGGCGCATTCTTGACACCTATGTGTCAACTTTCCCATCTAATTGTTATCACTAACGGTGACCGATCTAATTCTCACTAGGAGCGTTTTTTCTATCGGAGTTCTTTTTCACTCACTCTTTAACAGTTCGTTTCTAAATTTCGACACGAATAGACGTATTTGTGTAGTAAAACTTATTTTGAAAAATTATTTTATAATCGAAAAATGTCGTCAAGAGAAGCAAGTTCTTCACGTTGTGACGAAAAAACTGTTGATGATACCTTTTAAAAAAGCAGCATTTATTTGTTGTTCTTGGTGTAGACAGAATTTTTGTTTTGAATGTTTTTATCATAAGTATCATTCACGATCATGTACATCTGACAATGATATGTAATTATATAATATTGCTTCAATAAATTATATTCGTTTTTCTTGGTTATATTTGAGTTTTGCACTTTACAAGTTAGTATTTTACATCACTGTATAAAGAGTTATCATCAACAGTTTTTTCGTCACAACGTGAAGAACTTGCTTCTCTTGACGACATTTTTTGATTATAAAATAATTTTTCAAAATAAGTTTTACTACACAAATACGTCTATTCGTGTCGAAATTTAGAAACGAACTGTTAAAGAGTGAGTGAAAAAGAACTCCGATAGAAAAAACGCTCCTAGTGAGAATTAGATCGGTCACCGTTAGTGATAACAATTAGATGGGAAAGTTGACACGTAGGTGTCAAGAATGCGCCGTTATTGTCAACAAAAGTCAAAAAATATTAGACATGGAATAGTAGAAATTAAATTAAAATAAATAAATAATAAGCAATAAATGAATGGGTAAATAAATAAATACATTTAAGTATTTATGAATTAAAAAAAAAAGTGTACACAAGAATCGCACCGAGGAACTCAAGAATACGAGCCAGGATCGTTATCACTCAGCCACGGGACGCTTGAATGGAATCATGTATAATTTATATATAAAGTGCTCAAAAACTTTAAGTTCGTTTTTCTCGATTATATTTGAGTATTGCACTTTAGTATTTTACAGGTAGTACACTCACATGGTGTACTACCTCTACACCAAAGATCATCAAAATCCGTTACCCCAAAGCCGTAGGCTCTCCTTGGTAAGATAAACATAAAAATAAATGCGTTACTTGAATAAAATCAATCATTACAATAAGTTGTATCTTTAGGATCCTAATTCAAATAGGCATAAAACAAAAATTATTTTTTCCACAGTTTGTCTGCAAGATTAAAACAAACAAATCAAATTCACCCAAACATTTTAGAATGAAATTTGACATCGTAAAATGTTTCGTTATTCTTTGGAAATTTTTCATAATTTTAGTGAATTAAATTACAGAAGCAATATTTGGAAATTAAATTACAAGATTATATGAATTTCAATTCTTTATTGTATGAACCTTAGTTCGTTACAAGGGGGCTAAAGTATTACATAAAAACTGAAGTTAGTACAATTTAACAAATCTACACAATAAAAGTACTACACAATAAAACACAATAATAATCGTTTTTATACATATTATGTAAATTTGAAATTAGTAAAATTTAACAAATTAATTAAATAGCTTAATACAAGATAACACAAAATAAAATACACAAAAATAATCATTTTTTTGAAAAATTGAAATTAGTAAAATTTAACAAATTAATTAAATAGCTTAGTACAGGATAACACAAAATAAAATACACAAAAATAATCATTTTTTGAAAAACGCGATAAATTAAATATATCTTTCCAGGATTTAAATCTTGTCAAATACTTTTTCCTGTATGTTTCAAATTTGATACAGTGAAAGAACACGTTTCCAAGTTTCATATGTTCGCAAACTACAGTTATTGCAAATTTTGTCAGGGTCTATTATTAGTCTAGTGTTATACGTCATAATATAATTTTGACCACATTTCAGCTGTAGAATTAATCGCTTTACATGATAATTTATGTCCATAGACAAATATTCCTCACACATATAAGTTGTTTAAAAAATACGATATACAGTAATTGAAAATGCTTGTTCTTTTCCAACAAAGACCAATCTTCTTCTATGCTATACACTTTTATAATTAATGTTTGATAACTTTCGATCAGATAGATTTTCGATAGCTCCTTTTAGTTCTTCCATGGATCTTGGGATAACCATAGAAACGAGAAACCGTGTTGATCTAACAGATTTTTCAATGCCAACGTCCAGTAATATGCATAATTATCTATCATTAAACATAATTTATACAGTTTGTTATACGCTACTTTAACATAAATGACTGTTATCATGTAGTTTCAACAGTCTAATCCAAAAAGAGATTATTGCTTTTATTATTAATACCGATGTTCTAGAAACACCGAACTTCAATCGCAAGATATAAGCTGGAATTTTATAGTATGAAATAAAAATTCTTCGAAGATCTAAGGCAAGAACAATTTCCATTTCATCCTGATAAGTAATTGTCTGTATAGGAGCAGCATAAAGAAATACAGATGAAATCGAATGGAATAATTTTATATAAATATGAACAGAATTAATTTTAGCTTTTGAAAGAATAGGATACAAAGAACCTAGCGCCATTTTAGCTTTACGAATACTATAATTTTTAGCCTGTAAAAACTGTCCAGAAAACGAAAATAATACTCCCAGGCATGCGAAATTTGAAACGACTTGTATAGGCTGACCATCTCTCTCTTGGTGATAGTCTACCACTCTTTTTGAACACCGTCACTTTTGTTTTTGAAACATTTATAGTTAATCCATAGTCATAACAAAATTTCTCTAGAATTGTGTAATTCAACTTGATCAGAGAGAGAAATCCCAGGTAGCTCAGATTTTAGCAAGTCACACTATTAAAGCATTAACATACAAATTAAAAAGCAGTCGGCTCAGAATCTCATCCTTCAAAACTCCAATATCAATACCAAATGAATCAGTCGTTTCGGCTAAAATCTTTACTCTTGCAGTGGCTTTGGAGTATATGTCAATTATAAGGTCAATTATATGTAATTATGAAACTGTTTATTCATACCCATTCTTTTTAATAGAGACCATAAAACTTTGATTAACGGTATCAAAAGCAGATAGAAAGTCTACAAAACAGCATAAAGTTTTTCCCTCTTTTTCTGCAATTTTAATTGTATTAATGCATTTAACACAAATATTTGATTCTGGCAAGATTGGCCAGGTCGAAAACAAAATATCATATTAATAATCCAATCTTCTAATCTTTTATTTAATAAAGATGTAAATAGTTTACCAATTACAGGAACCAAATATATAGAACGATAATTTTTGGGGTCATACACATCGCCTTTTTTATACATTGAAATAATCAATTCATTTTCCGGAAAAGTAGAATTTTTTTTAATAGAATTAAAAACTTCCAATATTGTAAGAAGAAAATTTTCTGAAAAACACTTTAAATTTTCTATTGTAATAAAATCGATTCCAGGTAAGGTACCAGATTTAAAACGGCTAATAGTTCCTTTTAGTTCTTCCAATGCAAAACATCTGAAAAACATTACGTTTCTATTGGAAACACTTTATAAACATCCATGGACAATTCATCAGCATTAATAAGTATAGAATGTTCTTTAGAGAAGTGGCATAATAATTGAACCATTTTTCCAAAGGAATTCTTGAATTACCCAATGAACTTTTACGTTTAGAACTATTAATTATTTGCAAAAATATTTTAGAGTTTTTGCATGTCACCAATCTGCTATTTAAGTTCCAAAAATAACTGGTTTTTTTGACATAATAATTTATATTCTTTTAAAAAATTTTTATACGAAACATAACATTCATCCGTATTTAATTTTTTCACTTTCTTAAACAATCTCCATAGATCTTTTCTCATGGAGTAACACTCCCTATCATACCATGAATTTGTTGTATGCGTTTTAGAAGTTACAGATTTAACGTCATAAATTAACTCTAGGGAGATTGCTACCTTAGCGTCGAATTCCTTCTTCAACGTTCTCCTTTTCGGCACTTAAATCAGAGAAAATCAGTTGTTCCGTTGAATCACCTGAGACATTTTTTTCGCTTCCTATTTGTTTTCTTATATTTCGTGGTGATCCGTCTTGAGATAGCGGTGAAAAAGTTTTCCTTTCTGAGACGGAAATTCTGGCATTTTTCCAGAAGAAAGCAAAAGTGAATCAGATCAAAGAGAACAAAAAAGTTTACGCCAACAGCAATAAAGAATATGCTAACATAACAATGACAAACACTTCAAAACAAAGAATAGTCTGCTTAATCAAAGTAAAAGTTGAACAAAATAAATAATGTTTACACATTTATTTATTTTGTTCAATTTTTACATCAATTATGCAGTTTATTCTCATTTTTATGAGGTATTTACATTAGAAAGTTTTTAAAATTGTTTAAAGTTATCTTTTTGAGAAAATACATACTTTATATCTACTCTAACTTGCAATACGTTGAAAGCTTTTTTAAAAATCCATTTAAATTTACTACTATTAATTTCCTTATCATATTGTGTGTAATGTTTTCAATTGCTTTTCTATCAGTGCTGATTTGATTGTGAAGATGATAAATTGGGGAATAAGGCAGATATTTCTCCTTCAATCCTAAAATTTGTCAAAAATTTTTGATAATCATTATTAAAGGATGTGACCGTGTATATAGCAGAAACTAGTTTCTTTTTTTAAACTAAAATCTTCTTCAGTAACTTTAACCAAATAATTCATAACAATAGACAATACTCCTTATTCACTATGAAGTAAAGAAAAGATTTCCTTGTTAACAAAGAAATGTTATCCACACAATTTTTTAAATTTTTATTTTTTAAATGAAAATTTTTTATCTCAGGACTTACCCCTTTTTTTCTTACTTTATTTATTAGTGAATCATACTGAAGATATCCACTTTTGTTGTTTGTTACAATCAAAACTAAATGCAAAATTTTGTTTCTTTTTGTACAATTGCTACAATGACAATGATTTGCTTAATACAGAATCTCTAATGCAACTGAATACAAATGGCAAACAATATGTAGTCTAAATGAATTTAGAGAGAAAATCTTATATTCAATAAGTTTATATAATAAATATCATAATTTATATCTAAATCACTATAAGACTGTAATTATTATAAATATTGTAAATGTTATAATTACTGTAAAATAATGAATATAGTAAACACATGAAAATACTTACTTCTTTTAAAACAATTATTTTTGTAGCTTTTTTCAAAAATTGTATTTGATGTGTAGCTAATATCCTCACTTTATTTTTCAAATATTGCATAATGCATCTAAAGATAAATTATATAAAAATGTATGACAATAATTAAAATTATATTCATTTATTATTCTTTAAATAAATATAATAAAAAAACACGCAAGTATTACTTTTCAAATATATGTTTGGCAACAGCAGCATCAACTGCACTTAGTGGATCATCCAGGATAAATATATCAGCATCCAGATAAAGTGCTCTATAGTAACAACAGACTATGAAGCTTAATAGTTTAATATTGTAATTATTAAATATATTTTAGGATACCTTGCCAAATTAACTCTTGCTTTCTGGCCTCCACTAAGGCTAACTCCTCTTTCTCCAACAAGTGTTCGATCTCCATACGGAAAAAGGTTAATATCCTTCAAGAATAAGAAAAGTTTTATATTAAATATTTCTTACATATTACAAATTTGAACAGAAAAAATATATCAATAATTTTCAAGCTGCACATCAAATATGATTTGTAGATATAAAATTTCGTTTAGTTTCAGAAATTATAATAAAGTTTCTATATTTTAAGTGTCAATTATAATTTAGATATAATATTATAGATTTTTAAAAACAAAATATTTCTTAATCATATATTTTTCTTTATTGACAATAATTACACAATGATATATTCTATAATAATAAAAAATTGATTTCTCTATAAACATCTTTTTTTTATTTGCAAGATTTTGTAATTCATATAGATTGTATATGTGTGTTTATACCATTTATGATGTTCTTTTCTTCTAGACACTCCTTTTTTTTCTTTTTTTTTTTCAAATGTACTGTACAGCACATTTATAAAACTGAACTAAATCTTTACCCGATTTGATGACTTTTTAGGTAGCCTTCAGTTTAGATGATTTGTTAGAATGGTTTCCAAACGTTTTTCAGAATATTATATGGAACAGGGATTAATCATATGATTAATTCTTCTTTCTAGCATAGGAATTATTAGTAGAATACCATCACGATTTATTAAAAATAAGAGGAAGAGGAATTAATACCAAGATTGATCCCTGTTTCTCTTTATCTAAGAAATTATAATAGGGATTTTATTAATTTATAAGGTAAATTTAAAATGCTCAAAAAATAGAGCAAAAGTAAACTTGAGAGATTTTAGACAATGAAAGATATGTTTGAATGATTCATTTCCAGTGGAATTATAGTGGATTTATCTTTTCATTTCCAGTACTTAAAAATGAAAAGATAAAATAAAAACGCTAACAAGTTTTATATTTAAAATTTCATTCTAATAACATTGCCATGAGTATTTTTTTCTATTGAAAATATATTGTTGATTCAAAATGTGAAATCCCGGACAAAGTCTGATTCTTTCATTAAACGTACAAAAATTCACTTCATTTAAAGATAATATATTGTTAACGAAATATGTATAAAATATGTCTGTCGCGAAGGTATGAAATAAACAAAGTAACCCGTGCTCAACCCGTGACCTCACGGGTTGATGAAAACACAAGTGTCTAGAGTCTAGACCGGGTGTGGCCAAACTTTTATCCCTTAGGGGCTACTTTTTTGGTAAAATATAGTCTGCGGGCGACTATGAATATGGGCAAACAATTTTAGGATTTTTATATGCGCATGCGTTAACATTCATTTGCATTCTTCGGGATAAATACAAACAGTGTGGATACGTTGCACAGACATTCTATTATTGTAAGAATAAATTATCGAGTTAAGAATTTTAAACATTAATTTAAGTGAAAGCAAATTGTTCAACTTTAGCTTCGCGGGCTACTTTCAATACCTTTGCGGTCTACGTGTTGGCCATCCCTGGTCTAGACCAACGAGCTAGAATATATGTACTACATACAGTGGTTGTAGCGACACCAATGTTGAAAGAAAATCACGTTGAATATAGTCCTCCATTTTCCTTTTAATCAAGTGGACCATTCATGTTGTTAAAAACAATAAGCTAAAATATTCTAACTCGTTGTGTAAAAGTGTGCAAAGGAAAGGAAGCGTTTTAACCCTTAACTGAGATGGTACGAGTCAAATGACCTTACTTAGTTTTTCTTTTTTAATTTTGAAAGTAAACAACAAAACATTTCATTCTATTATTTAAATTATACTCGTATACACAATTTAAGTATTCATGCAGTTTTGGAACGAAAAAAATCAAATCGAAAATAAATAAGTTGTTTAGTTTATATAAACGAACATTCGAGAAGCGTAACTTTTTGCCTTCTCGAATGGCCGGACGGTGGCGGCTTCAAGGAATACGCTATTTTGCCAGTCTATTACTTATAGGTCGTTGGGTTAAACCTGAAAACCATCCATTCGAGTTGTCTAGTCCAAATTGCTATGGTCAAGCATTTGACAAAACAAGTATTGGCCCACCAGTGACCGAGTGGATAAAACCACTGAACACTTGTATGGGTTTGCTCCTTGCCAACGGATGGGTACGTTGAGTTTTCCGGGTTTTCTTCATACTAATTACACCAAACTAGGAGCCAGTTTCCCATGAAAGACTTCCCAGGAGGCATCCCCCTTTGACAGATCATCCATATGTCTCGTTGCCCTATACGAATAAAACAAACAATAAAATTTCGCGCACCGCCACCGCTGGTACCGCCCGAAAATTGGTCGTGGACTAGGTGGAAACCGGAATGCCTGTTGTTTTTTACTTTAAATTCTTATATTTTTCAATCATTTTTAAAATTATTTTCTGTAAATTATATATGTGTTGTATGCATTGATTGTAATTTAATTCAAACAAACTACTTTGTTTGATATTCCTTTTAAAATAAATTTTTCAAACATATTAACACACAACATAAGCTAAATTAAATTAATTTACTTGTAATTTAATTGTTAATTGTGGCTGTACGCTATGTTTTTTATAGTTTTATTTTTACTTCAATGTTCTATCCTTCACTTCCTGTTTCTTTGTTCTATTGTTTTTATTCTGTGGAATGTTCCTTTTCGAAATTCTTTCCCTTATTTGGTCGTTTAAAATATCCTAGAACAAAGGAAGGATGTGCCACTCATGATGAATAAGAGGGGAGGGGCAGATGAGATTCGGACTCGAGATGAGAGGGTGGTCATACAAGCCTTCTGGTACGTTTTTATTAAATTTTTACTTTTCCGTCCATAAATTACGTAAGGGTGATTTCGGCCATTCTTGACCCCCACCCATCCCTGTGTAAGAAACCGTAATATATTCTTTGATTCCTTCATCCCCTTTCGTATCTTACGTAATATTTTGGCATGATTTTTTAGAAAGATTTTAACCAAAAAAAGTTTTGTTATTTAATTAAAGGACAGATTGAACTCAATCTTCAATTCCAAAATAATGCTCTACGTAATGAAATTGAGCGGTAAGCTTATTCAAAATGAGATCCTACCCTTCTAACATTTCAGGTGGTTCAGCGTTGAATATGAATTGCTCGAATATTGAAAATAATTGCATAGAAATTCATTTGCAAGACTTCGAATTGTGGAAAACAATGTTTAGTAAGCACCGCTTTTCTCGCTTGCTACGATTCTTCCATGGAGAATCGTGCGAACATCCTCCCTAAACAAGGAAAGACAAAACAAGCACTGCATTCTGCATGCTAATGCAGAATGCACTAAACATGAAATTTATGTTATTCGTTTAATCAATTGTAATATTTTAATTGTTCTCAACTGTTATAATTTTCAGATGGTACTTAATTCCCTTCATATGTATCAAAGAAGAATTGTCATAGGGGAATGTGGCCCCAAAATCTATAAAAGTGGAAAAAGGTAACTATTAAAGATACATTGGATATGATGTTATAGATTAAGTACTGTGTTCNTTTCAATCATTTTTAAAATTATTTTCTGTAAATTTTATTTAATTTTAATTATAATTATTATTTTACTGGAGACTGGAGTAACTAAAACGTTCACTCACTTGTCACATTCTTTTGCTTACGAGCCATGCATATTTTTCGAGCTATCTTTTTGAAAAATTCTAAAACATCCCATGCTTATTATTTATTCGCACAATCTTGCCCAATGGGAATCAGAGCCAGATTGTAAAGTTATTTTCTTACAGATTTTCAGATAAGTTTTAATAATTTTCGACTGAGAAAAAAGGTGTTCACAACTGGCAACTGTGACTGAAATTCTCAAAAAAAAAAAAAAAAAAAAAAAGTAAGCAGGCTGTGCATATATGGGGTAACATGCTGGCCAATGGCCAATAAATAATTTTCGACAACCAAAAACTTATCTAGGCTATGGATGTCTTTTCTGTCTTGTAATTTATATTTAAGCACACTAAGAACCTTCAACAGTTGAAATGTTGGCAAGTTTCGATGTAGCAGAATGTAAGTTACGTCGTCGTTCATTTTAGTCAAATTTTCAAGAAGTACAGTTGCGAAAGTTTTGACAATTTCGTTTAGATCGGTAAATCGGACTTTCAACTGGGTGATAATAATAATATATAGTGTTGAATTAAATATTTTAAATTTCGAAGTACTTAACAAGATCCTCTATTTTGTCTCGGTTCAGCTCATCGAAATATCTTTTCCACCAATTTTTCCGGAAAAAGACATTTCGATATGGAGAGGATCAATATGTAATGACTTTAGTAACCTCACCAACGTCATTGCGAAGCTTCTTATTGTCTAGTACGTTTTTAAGGAGCTCTTCTGCTTTGGAAATTTCCTGCTCAGGAGACTGCAACATTTTTGATACGACATTTTAACTGACAATATCTTTGCCCACATGATAATCATAACAATGGAATCAAATATTTCAAAGTATTTTTCCTAATGATCGTCTGATACGGAAAACGAAAGGCTTTCACGTAGTTATTTCTGGAACTCCAATGGACAGAAGAACAACGTCTCTTTAAGGAGACAGCTGAGAAGATTCTGTTTTAAGTAATTAATGCTGTATACAAAAATAAGAGTTTTTCAAGCAATCTTTTAAAGCAATATTTCTTTTATCGTTTTTTTTTCGGAATAAAAAACTGAAAAATTACAGAACTGTCAAAGAAAACATTAATTAATCAAAAATATTTAAAATAAAAGTAGTAAAATGTAAATAAAAAGCGCCATGACAAAATATACTGTTGACCATTAAAATTGCTACACCAGGAAGGAAAGCAAATAGCAGAATCATGTTTATTGCATACATAGAGTATAATGGAATGAAGACTTGATTAAATTGACAAATAATCTTGAGGTACAGAACACTCAGCATGTTGTACGTTTCATGAAAGTTTGTTTTTGTTGCGTGCCATCTTCATGGTGTAGCAATTTTAAAGGCCAACAGTGTATAAATTTTTTAATTCTACGCTCGGTAAGTGGCTCATGCTAATATCAATAGCAACTGTTTTGGGGCACCTGCTGACTACCGACAAGCGCCAACCGTCCTATCTATTATTCAATGTAAAGCACTGCCAAAGACGCCAAAATTCAACTTAAAAGGCGTAAGCCTACGCTGTCTACCTAAAGCGCTATATAATTGTCTGTAATTTATGCAAGTTTAAGACTAAATGCTTAAACCAGGGATTGCCAACAGTTTTTGCCCCCGGGCCGAATTGGAAAGAAAAGTTTTTTTTACTGGCCAAACCAGAGGCTGCCCTAAGAAGATTTTGAGGTGGTGCGAGATCTCATTGTGGTGTCACCCCGTAGAGACTAAATTGTACATAGAGATTACAGATACATTTTTCACATTATCATGCTTTATCAACGTTCTACGCTGTACTTAAGAGATTTGTAATGGAGGGTTAACTCTAAACGCAAAGTGAGTTGTTGACCTTTTTTTTGCGTCAGAAGTTTTCATCGAGCTATTCGGACTTCAGTAGCTAATATTGAAAGATTTATCACGGGCCACATAAATCCATTACACGGGCCACATCCGGCCCGCAGGCCGTATGTTGGCCATGCCTGGCCTAAACTCTAATCTTACTTGCCAAGACAGTAAATTAAAATTTTCCATAAAATTTTACTTTACTATGTTAATCGAAAAGAAAATCCTGTCATGTAGGTCCTGGAAAGGTATTTTGTGGTGTTTCTTTCAAACTAAAAGGATTAAAGTGCTTCCGCTTGTCTCCAGCCCCATTAGGCTGGGGCCAGAGACAAGCGGAAGCATTTTAATCCTTTTAGTTACGTCCTTGCTCGTTATTGACAATGCGATCTACGTATGAAATGCAAGATTTTAAACTGATATGAAAATTATCATCTGTAATTTTTAAATTTATTAAATATATTAACATTCAATTAAGTTTAATTTTAAAACTTTACCTTTTCTAAAGCCGATACGTGTAACACATTATTGTATTTTTCTTCATCAAATACATTTCCAAATAAAATGTTTTGTTTGACACTTCCGCCAAAAACCCAGGCTTCTTGAGAAGCATATGCAATTCTTCCTTTTACTTTTATTTCACCCGAAGAAGAAGGAAGTTCGCCCAGCATTGACATAAGCAAAGAAGTCTATTGAGATAATTTAAATACTGAATTGTACATATATTTTATTTATTCATTCAAATAATGTTTATTACTATTTAGCATTATAATTTAAAATTTAATTAATCTTTTTCATGTGAAACAATAATTTTCTGAAATAATATAGAGTTTAGCTTATATTGTTACATATACTGATACTATTAAAAATACCTTTCCAGATCCCACTGGTCCAATAACAGCTAATAATTCTCCAGGTTGCACATTCAATGTTATTCTTTGTAACGTTGCTTCACCATCCTTGACATAAAATAATTTTAATTAATACGTTTAATAAAAAAAACACATTTTTTTTAATTTATAAAAAGATTTAAAATTATTAAATTTTATTTCTATTTTATTCATAAATATCTTATTATTTTTATTTTATTTTTTTAATCATTTAATAAGGGCGCGTGCACACAGCGAATGAGTGGACACGCCCTAATGGAAATTATCATATTGAAAAAAATTAGACTTTACAATTACAGATATCATTTTAATCCCACTTATTACGGGTTTGAAGCCCATACAGAGGCAACCGAATGGTGAGGGAGGAACCTTACATTCCAAAAAACCGCTCGACCGATCGGATTAGAGGGTTCCTTAGAGTGGTTGGCTGGTGCCTTAACCGTCTCGGTTACCGGGCCGTCCATTTGTAGATTTTGAAATATAGTCACTATCAAGCTCTTTTATCCGATTCCTGCTATAAGGAATGATACCATTTAGCATCTCTCGTGGTATTCAAAGCAAATAATTCTGGTGTTACGAGTTTCTTCGAAATGTATTTATAAAAATTCGAAAGTCACACCAGTGAAAGTAGGAAGGACTCCGTTAACATCATCAATTTTCGTTTTTTTTCCTAGTGGCATTGTGTCTATGTTTTGTTATACTTGTGCACTTTAGTGATTTTTTATCGTAAAATTTTAGTGCAATCTTCCAAGCTTATTCTTAACAGTTCTTAATAATATAAACACAAAAGTATATATGCTTAATTAATATTATAAAATTAAAAAGTTACATTCGAAAATAAATTCGAATTTTATTTAAATAAAATCTGAATACATTTTTTGTTTACTGACAGTGATGGCGCTGCCAATACGTTCCAGTTTTAAAATTTAGTAAGATTGATATGAAGAGTAATCTTCCAGTATAAAAAGATTTACAGAGACTTTAAATTCAGAAAGTAAGGCTTGATATCAGTTATATTCTTTGAAGTGAACTGAAATAAATAGATATTTCATCTAGAAAAATTTCATTAAATAATTTGTTATCTGTATTTCGTAAAAATTCTGAAATTGCAAGACACCAATGTTGGAATTTATTGTATTTACAAACAGATACGATAAGATAGGAAAAAATATCCGAACTTATCATTTTATCTTAACACTTATCGTCCATTCCGTCACAAAATCCTTTATTAATAATTGAAAGGAAAAAATATCGTAAGAAAATAGTGAAACGTTTTCTAAATTGTGATAGCATATCAGTAATGATAAGCCTATAAAAACTGCAAATAATATACAGGAAGAAAGAAATGAATAAATATTGTTTCTTAATTTTATATTTTAGAGAAACAAAGGAATTAAAGGATGAAGACTTTTTATTTCTACATATTTTCCTTGCATAATCACTTAGGAATTTAAAAAAAAAAATTTAATACAGTATTTGCTCATAGTAACTCTTTTTAATTATTCAAAAAAGAAAATAACCTGAATATAAATAGCGAATTAAATAGTTACAGTATTTATAAAGTACTATAAAAATAGACTAATTAATTATCTTGAAGTTCGTTTATTAGTTAAATATCTTATTTACCTTGTTCCAGGAAGCAGTAACTTTATTCATCCAAATTCCACATTGATTTAGTTTTGGTCTTAAATTAGAAACAGTCATTTCATTCTCTTCTTGTTCTTCTAACAGTAAAAATCTCTGATAATTAAAAATAACTATTAAAATAATTTTATTCGATAATAGAAATGCTTACAAAAAAAAAATTTAAAATTTTGTGAAAATTTCTTTAATTAAACTATTTAATGCTAAGCAGGCATTGGTTTTCAAATTTTTAACTAACCTGTAATCTTTTAAGAGAAATTAATGCTTCAGCCCCTTGAGAAATTCCATATGGAAAAAATAGTGTCATACATAGTCTTAAGTTGTTAAATAAACTGATACTAACAAAAACTGTTCTAGCTGTTAATTGTCCTCCGAGTAAAATATAGGTTAAAAAGGATAAAAATAAAATTAGTTTTGAAGAAACGAAAAATAGTGCTATGTTTATTCCTCGTAGAATTGATGTTTGCCTGATCTTCTTAATTTCTTTTCTAGAAATATAAACAATTATATTTCATCCAGAAAAGAAAAACTTAAATAAGATATTTTTACCTTCTAGCTTTATCAACCAATTCAGCAAATGCAAATTCCCAAGTATACATTTTGATTACACGCATGCCAGCTACAATTTCATTCATTAATCGTATTCTTTCATCTGTCAGTTTAGCCGTTTTCGATCTAAAGAATTATAAGATTAAATCATATTGATAGTTCAAATCAGTCTATTTTACATTTATTGTTTTAATTGACTTACCTGAGTTTGGAAAATAATTTTCCCATTCCACCTTGAAATGGAATATACAGCAATAATACTGAAAGTCCTGCAAATGTAGCATATCCTAAATATCTCCACAGAACAAGTAACATAATTGCTGTTTGAAGAGGTCCTGCTATTAGATGTGGTAAATAAATAATACACTGGAAAAGGTAATTAATACAAATATTGTATCATGATTATCTATATTTAAATTATTCATTACTGAAGAAAAAATTATGAAATATTAATTTTTACAATTTTAAACATACATAATCAAATCGATTGACATCGTTTGATAACAGATTAACCATCTGGCCGACAGTTGTTTTCCCTAAAGAAGTATGGCTTAACTTTAACGCCTAAAACAGAATTATTTATATTATTAGATGTTATTTTTATAATTTAATGCATTATGACTAAGTCTAGGGGTTACAAAAATATAATGAATAGCGATTTTCAACTCACTTTTCTATAAATAATACTGCAACATGCTATTCTTATTCTCATTCCAATTCGTTGAGCTCCGAAAAAGTAGACATGATGAGTAAATACAAAACAAACAGCTAAAAGACAAATACCCCCTGCTGATAAATAAGAATCAAGCTCCTTTTCTTTATTCTTATTAGCGTAATAATCGACAATGACGCCTAAGAGATAGGGTTGACAGACACGAATTATGCATTCCTTCAAAAGGGGAAACAAAGAAATAAAATAAAAATATAAATTTTTACACAAATTTTAAAGAAAGTTTTTGCAATTACTTCAACTAAAATAAGTGAAGCATGAAGAAAGTAAAGACATCCAAACGTTCTTATAACGGCTTTCAACAAACTTGGATGTTTCTTTTTTAATTCTTTGTCCCATTGTCTGAAATCAATAGAAATTATTAAATGTTTAATCTAAAAATGAACAATGTTTAAGATATTGTAAATAATATACGTATTTACTTTTGCAAGCGGTCACCTAATTTTTCTGAGCAATCTGTTTTTGGATTTCGATACAAATCATTTACTTCGAGCTCTGTTTTGTATCCTTTCAAGAACAATGGATATAACCAACTGAAATAAAATAAATTATTAGTTTAGATTTCAAATTTAATTATTTAATTAATTTATTTAAAGTTACAAAAATAATGATTAAAAAATTTGCCCTATGTTTTATTCTTATTCTATAACCATTGTTTCGTGTTATCAATCAAGACACGTCTTACTTTATAGATAAAGAAGTTAAACGGTATTTCAAGGACTATGTTAATTTAACTGAAATTATATAATTCATCAATTCTAGTCTATATATGAAATTCCAAAAGAATTGTGGCATTGAATTATAACTTGGCTTTTGCCATTATAGTACCGTGATTATCGTAGTTATTTGAAACAGATAAATAAACGAGATTTATCTATCGTAAATATAATGTAGTCATGAATAGTTTTATAGTTCATGTTGTCAGGCTCATTTGGTCTGGGTTCACGTTTACGGAGATCTCATAAACATTTGTTACAAAGTAACATTTTTGGTGTATTAAGAAAAATCATTTTTTTGTGAAATTTTATCATGTTAAACATGTAATGCAGTTTTATAAAATTGTATTGTGTTCTTTAATATACCGAGGGCTCAGAAAGTTAAATATCGTTGTAATATTGTAGCAAATATGCGTTTTTAATTAATATACGATAAATACATTTAGAGAACTTTTCTTGAATTTTATTTTTAGAACTGGATATTTTTATTTATTTATTAACTTTTTCCGTTCTGTGAGCACTAAAAGAGTCACTTTTTAACAAGTCTATTATAGTTCGGTCAGGGTAGTGAGGACACGTCCTACATATCCGGACGGATCCCTGAAAAATTCTTGGTGTTTTTGACGCTATCCCAGATCCCTCAGAATGATGGGTAATCCGACCAGCATCGTAGTTTGTATTTGATATATAATTGGTAAAAATCATAAAAGAAACTTCCGCAAATATTTCAATTTAGTTAATAAAAAAAGTCTAACTTATAGTTCCTATTTTAAAATTTATATTAATGTGTGTATTGTACAGGAATTGAAAACTGTTTAAAGAAATATTTAACTAATTTAGAATCTATATTTAACGAGCAATTATTTATTGTAACATAGGCACAATGCTGGGCTACAATTTTAAATCATATTTTTAATTTATTTAATTTAAAATATATGCTCTCCACCTCTGATTAGTACTGTAGTATCTTGCCTCTGTACAGAGTACCTTTCCTTTAAGGATAGAGTCATGCCAGTCATCTGTCTAACACTTTCAGGGAAAGTTTTTGAATTGAAATAACATGACTTTCGGTTTGCATTGGAAGTTCGAATATAGTTAATCGAGACCTCCTACCCATAAGATTTCCATATCTTGTCTCGGATTTTATCTACATAATTCCGTTCTCAAAATTAAGGAAAGACAAACAGACGGACGGACGACAGTAGAAATTTATAGGTCTACAATTTTTTCAAATTACAGCCCAACAAGATAAAAATCTCAGATTTCAAAAGAAACCTGGAAATTTAATGTTTGTTTGTATTGAGAGTATGCATATAACAATTAAATTTTAAAAGTCAGTTTATTTATATATATTTCATTATAAAGAACTTTAAAATATTTTTTAAACCTGAAAAAAATTAGTTATAAAAATAACATATTTCACAAAATTTTAAAAATTAAGCAAATTTGATTATTTTGCAATTCGTTATTTACTGATTATAAAATTTTTATATTAGGCCTATTCATTAAATAAATTTTATCTGTGGATGATTATTTTAATTTCTTTATTCTAAAGAAAGATCTCTATTGGGATAGACGATACGATTAGATAAATAGTTTTGTAATTGCTTTATCACTTATAAAGTTTTAAGATAACAAATACATATTTTGAAATATCAACATTTATCTATAGCGATTTAAAAATGAAAAATTATAATCGAACTTTGAGTTTTATAATCAACCTTAAGTAAATCTGCATTTGAACGAAAAAGTAGTTTATGCCTCTATACTTTTGTATAATTTATATTACAGGTAACCCTCGTATAACACGGGAGTTACGTTCCAAAAAATTGCCGTGTTATGCGAATTCGTGTTATACGAAACAAAGAACTAGTACGAAAAGGGAGTTAGGTTCCAAAAATTAAAAAACATACTGTTAAATCCTTATTTAAATCGGATTTATTATTCATTTTTTCACAGGTAAAATACTTATTTATTATTTAAGTAAATATTTTACCAGAGGATTATTCATCCTATATGATGATCTCAGCATGAGCATCATCAACTGGTAACAGTTTTTGGGTGCGTTCGTTAATAGCGGTCGCTCTGCAACGGGAATGTGCTATTGTTTGCAGGCATTTAGGAACGACGGTGAAAGAAAGATGGCGGCGCCCGCACTATCGATAGTATCGTAATGGAGGAATCTATAATTCTAAAATGAACTTTTAGAGGCAAAAGAAGGGTCCCAATTGTAAAATTTAACCATTAAATCTATTATTTGTTGAAAGAGCATTCAAAGTAGCCACGAAAACAATTAGAATGCTCGCGCGGAGTTACGCGGAGGTATAAAAGAACGCACTCTTTATTACATTTTACGTTGTACGAGGGTTTTACCTAATTCCCGAACCGTGTTAGAGTGAACCCGTGCTATAAAAGCACCGTGTTATACAGGGGATGTTCCCAATTCTCGAACCGTGTTAGAGTGAATCCGTGCTATAGAAGTGCCGTGCTATATGGGGGTTACCTGTACTGGTATTGCTGGAAATTTTTAAATTTTTTCAGGGTTTGTTTGTTAAGTTAGGGTAAATCAACACTTGAGCGATGCCTTTCGGGAGGTCTTTTTAAGGGTAACTGGTCCCTATTTAGGCATTACAGACATGGAGAAAACCTGAAAAACTCCACGTCCTAGCGAGGCGCAAATCCACGATCCCAGTGTTCAGGGAACGGAACCGCTTGACCACTGGTGGGACGCAGGGAGGTTTGTTTATTAGGGCATTGATGTTATTAAATTTTGACGATAAAAGGTCGAGTGGATGGGGAGAGAGGGACGTTATGTAGTAGGTCACACTTAATGACGATTTTACTTGTTATTAGTATTTACAATTTTTTATAAAACTCACCCCTGCCTAAAAAATTAATCATTTTGCCATTTTATAAAAACTAAAAATATAAAAAGGCTTTTTAGTAAAATGTAATAATACATGGCGCCACTAAATGTTGCCGTGAACGTTAAGGAACTCATTACTAGATTTTTTTACATCGAGGACATTTTTGTCTTTGCTTCGTACTATATAACTGAGATGAAATATATATTTCTAATGCAAATAGTTCTCCATTTTGTTTGAATATTTAAAAATCTTGTAATTTGTTGACAAAGTATAAGAATACTACGAATCAGTTTCAATTTTGTCCATTGCAATATCTTAATGCGCGGCCATTCAGCCGATTTCTATTATCTAACATAATGATATGCGGGCGTATCAGATAAGATTACAACCGACCTTTTTAAATGAATTGTTTAAAATTAAAATTAAATTACTATATAAAATATATAGGATTATTAATCAAAATTAACTTATTACCTTATAATTTGAATTAAAATTAAAATGATAAACTTCATTTTTATATAACTATTTTCAATCATGTTTGAAGAACACTTGTGTAGTCTTTAACTAGCTTTCTTAATGCAATTTACAGAATTTTGAGCTAAATACTTGAAAAAAATAGTGATAACTTTTATAATTTTATTATACAGTGCACTACATAAATATTTGCACTAAAGTAGCAACGAGAATAAATGTTTGCATTAAGTTGCTGAAATGTAAAGGGAATGCGCTGGTGTTGTTGAAGAAATGACAGATAATCGGCAAGCATCGATTAATGATCTGAGTCACTCTAAAAATAATTTTCTTGCAGCGCTAAATGCCCTCAAACCACCACACTGTTAACTTTGACTGTCCGGATGAATTGAATGGATGTGGCATGATTTAAGAAAATAACTCAATAAAATTCCTGGTTATTAGACAGGACGAAAAGTGAAGACAATTTAATTCCTATGTCCTTAATGTTTTAATTTATTGTTTTTATATTATCTATTTGGACCTTGTTTATACGAGGGTTATTTTTTCAACCTCCTCTACGCATTAAAAAAAAATTGGAAGCACGTGAGACAGGAACAGGGTGCACACCTAGTGAATAGTATATTCCCTCACCATTTAGCGTTGTGCCAAGCTATTTTAGACATTTGCTGCTGCGCAGTAAACACATAAATATGGCGCCGCCAATCTAGTCTCCCGCCAACTGTGATGTAGGCACGGTAATTCGATTTCTACAGGCCGAAGGGCTGAATGGAGGTGAAATTCATCGAATGATGTGTAATGTGGATTACGCAACCCCAATTTTATGTAACGTTTTCATCAAATAGTTTAAAAGAAACAATCATCCATATCATTCGCTGTCGTGATTGAAATTAATTAAATAGGTGCTAAAACTGACGCAATTACGTATATAGGCACTTCGTAAAGTGATGCAATAACATCAAAAAAATTTAAAGTATAATAAAGAATAATATAATATAACAAATTTATAATTATTTTTTTAAAGCACGATTGGTTATAAAATTAAGATGAAATTCAATAGTATTATTAATAAATGTTGTCAATGTAATGCTCATTTTATAATAAGTAATAGATGCGTAGATATATTTTTAATTTATAAATAGCTTTCAAAAAATTCCAAAAATAAAATTTTAAATTAAATTATTTGACAATAAACCGACAAATAATACTTGAATAAAATACAATGTATTCAAACAAAATATGAATATTTGTTGCCATAACAAAATAATACTAAAATTTTCTTTTTTACAATTAAATAGTCAATTTTACTTTAATTTTTATTTAATTAAAACAAAAAATATCAATTTAATGTTGTTTGTGAATAATTTTTTTTGTTTACATATTCTGCATTAATAATAAAATTTAAAGTTTACTACCAAAAACTACTGTAAAAATATTAAGTCTTTTGCATTATATTTGATATATTTAAATGTAAGAAAA